TTATATGCAATTATATATTTTTTATATCTTTACGAATCTCAAAATTTCATGGGAATCAACTTTGATGATGATAAGTGCCGTTATTTCATAACAAATTATGTTTAACTTACCTTACTACCGGTGCAGCCTGGTAACGTAGAAATGCGGCTAAGTGATCTACAAACTCGGCAACGTTCTTTTCTGCGGGTTCTTCAGTGTAATGCGGGTGAGTTTTTTTTCAGGCCAAGTGGACTGAGCTTATGCGGAATTTCAATTATTATGATACTGATGGTTTTACAATTCCGAAAGCAAATTTACCTCCTGAAAAATTGAAATATTTCTCCTTCAAAGGTTTATACATTTTGCCAAATCTAGGCAAGCTGTGAGTGGAATTCTTCCAAGAGTCAAAGAAAACCACACATTGTGGTCTTTATGGAAATGATAAGGCAGATTTGATGGCAAAGAAAGGGCCAGGATTCTCCAAATAACTGATCTAACTGATAATCCCTCTTTGCACTGCCAAAAGAGTAATAAAAAATTACTAAGCAGAAGCCTTTTGAGAAGACGTTACTGAAAGGAACAATCATTAAATATGGATTAACAGAATGTTTGACATTCCTTTATGGACCAGAAAGAAATCTGGTGCTATTTTTCGTCTTTTAACGGCCATGATTACCTTTTGAAACATCTGCATCGAGTGAACATTATCCATGTACAATGGTCACTCGTTCCAATTTGTAAATTGTACAACATTCATGAGGAAAAGAATGCCTTACATCTGAGTTGTTGTTCTGCGTTTACGCTTAATGCTGGGTCACTCTGGGAGAGATACTGGGAAGCGAAACACAAAATATATTTATAGATTATACTGTAAACGCTTTTGTAAATTTATTTCTCTCTTTCATCTTTACTTGTTCTGCCTAGAGTTGCCTTTCTTGTTTTACTTGTTCTGCCTACAGTTGCCTTTCATCTTTACTTGTTCTGCCACAGGTAATCTGTTTGTTTGTAAGCTATTAAAATACTTAACATTAAAAATAAAAAAATTTAAGTATTTTAATAGCTGAAAATATATAGCAATATTCCATCATAAATATCCTGCACGAAAAAGAAAAGCCATGAATGTTTTGCATTCTAGGTAATTTTTAATTCTTCCTACAGTTCAGTTACTGGCTTTCTTTTCCCTGTTCAAACCAGACATTATTCTTTATTCAATTATGTTTCATACTAAATTGTGATTTCAATACTTATCAGAAATAAAAACAAATGTGAAACAATATTTTATTCCAAACAGTTACACCAAAGGATATAGTATGACGTGCATTCTTGTTTCTGAAAAAACATATATTCGGAAAAATTATTTTGAGGGCATAAAATCCATAAGCTGCATAAATTTATAAAATACATTATCAGCATAGAATTTATTCCAAAAGCTTAATTAAATCTTTAATTGATATAACACTTGTTCAAAATATTCTAATATGTTATTTAAAATATTTTGATTTCGTTAAATGATTTTCATTGTGAAGTTTTATGTACCATAGATTAATATGCCACATAAAAATGTGATCAGGAATTATTCTTTAGGTACAAGTGCTATCCGCCAGCTAATGTTGATTTGTTCTGTAGTAAGAGAACAAAACACAAGAAAAATCTGCTTCTTGATCAAATACCTAGGCTCAGAAAATATGGAATTTTATGAAAGTACCAGACAGAAGACAAAACTCCTTCATGGCCACAAAAGAATAGGAATCCCGTTATCCAAGACAGCTGCGATTGATCAAGAAATTTTCTCTTCTCTGCTTTCTAGATTATTGGAACACAGAAATGTGAACACTACTAAGCTTTATTCCGGTGGCATGATATTCACTCTTAACATATGGATCAATCCAATCCATATGTTAAGAGTGATACTGACAGAAATTTAATTATGATAGATCTTTTCAACTCTTTAAATTCTTTGTGAAGAATTATTTGCCTTTAATTTATTGATATGTCACTGGAACACCTCGTTAAAAAATTTCTAGAACTAATATATGAATAATTAAATACAAATTTCCCTTACAGACACTATTTTTATTTCATTGTATTTTAAATTCTCTTTAAAAAAGATGGAGGGATTGTGAGTTAAGGGGAGACATGTATAAAAATCTCAAAACACAGAATTAGCTATCAAAAATCTATTTCTATTTCTACCCTAATTTTTATTAGAGAAATAACATACGGTAATTCTATTGTTAGATAATTTTCCTATACAGGTAGCAATGAGAGAAATTCCATAATTTGATAGGCTGTAACTGAGTCACCATAAAAAAGCTATAATGCTTACTGTCGTGATAAATCATACAGTATAATTTGCATAGCATCTCCTCAGCAAAATCATAATTCAAGAATTGGAAGTATTACAAGTCTTATCTGCAAAACCATACTAATCATCCTTTATTTTTATTGTTTTAAAATATCGCATTTTAATCCTTCAGAAAATTAACATTTTTGATTCATTTCTCCTACAGATTCAAGTTTAAAGCTCTCCTTACTTATCAACAATGCCATTAGATATATATTTCAGTAAATCTTAAGTATTCTTTTTTTAATTATCGACCTTCTTTGTCAGAGTATTAATTATAGGTTATTAAGATTTATTTACAGCTTTGAATTAGTTAACAATTTTTATCGCCTTAACTATTTAGGCTATGTACTTGCTTTGCTTTTGACTTAATCTGCTATTATGTGTACTAGAGATAGGATATAGTCTAATTTTTTTTAATCTGAATATTAATTTACAAGGTTCTCGAAACTTTGCAGTTTGTAACCCTTTATGTAAGAATAATGAGGAAAAAGAAAAGTAACTTTAACTTACTATTAAAAATGTTTAATTAAAGTAAGATATAAAAATTAAAGTAAGATTTAATAAAAAAAACACATTTAAGAATACATATTTTACAAATACATTTACATGTATTCAGCAGATATTAATATTTTTGTCGATAAGGTACATAATTAAAACTCTTTGAATCTTTAGATTCATTTTCTATGCATAATTTGATAAAATATGCACACGTGATCCAAAAGTCGAGCACATCAAACTTTCAAAATTGTAGAAATTCTCAAATGGTATTGATGGCAAATTGTTTCAATAAATAACAACTTTATGTTTTTATAAGTAAAATACCACTTAAAAATTGAAATGCAGTTTATAGTGTTATCTTTAAAAACCATTTGCTTGGTGCCAGATGGAAATGAATTTTTTACAAAAAAAATTTTATGACTCAGAATTACTTTGCAACGCATTCTTATGGAAAATTTGTTGAAGCTTTGAAAGAAACTTACCGAACTGTTTGTCAACTAAAACGATAATGATTTTTGTTTGCTAATCTGATTTCGGAAATTAGAAACGGTCATCTTATGAAACAAAGTGGCCATTACCTGTTCCGAGTTTGCATAGAATGGACGAAGTCGGGAGTAAAATGTTGATATCACCAACCATTAGTATGAGGAAGATGCCATCGCAATCAAATTTATACGTTGCTAAGCAATGCTTAATTGCAAAAATTCATTCAGTTTTCGAAATCTCATTTTCCATCTTTCACCCAAATTGTTTTTAAAGCTAACAGAATAAATTGTAACTAAACTTTCAAGTGCTATATTACTTGAACGAGACTAAGGGTTAAAATAATTTGTTATTAATACCTATTTCGGGTCATTTACAGTTTTTTTAAGCTGCATGCAAGTCATTTTGGGCTCATTTTGTATATCTGAACAACCTTCTAGATATTTTACGCTTCTCCAGAATATTTTTAAATCAAATTAAGTACAGATAGGTACAGCATTACTTATACGAGTTAAAATGCATTAAATAAAGAGCGCTTAATTCCCCCTAGAAAATTACAGATACGACATTCAGAGCCACCACAAGATGACGCTAGTGGTGTAGGTCAATTAAAATTGCAGCACTTGAGACACTTTTTATGAATTCTTTCCATTGAATTTCAATAAAACTAATATTTCAGAAGTTTTGTGCTAAACTGTTTAAGGGTATTTTAAATCAGAAATCGAAAGATTAGAGTGCTGAAAGAAACGCGAAGGTTCGAGTTTTCCAATATCAAATCCTTTTCAAGATTTGTTGGATTCGAATGTTCTAGTCCTACTTTTTGCTAAATTACTTTGAACGTTTCGGTCTTTCTCTTTCGGAATTCCTTAGAATTTTCGTGAATTTTAATGTGTTATAAAGGCTTTAGTAGCCTTAGTTGAAGAGATTATTATTGGTTTTACAATTTGTCATCTCATATGATTTCGATTTATCTTTCAAAAGATTTTTAAGTATTTCACAGTTCAAAATCGTAAATAGATGGATAGGACAGTTATAAAACAAACTATCGCAGTATAGAAAGATAAATAGGTCTACAAGGTTTACATTACAAACAAACATTATACTATTTAATTCTTATATTTTTAGAATTACATCCAATCGCTGAATATTTAGATTATATCTAGTCTACCGGGGGGGTTCAATGCGTTTTTTCGCCTCATTTCCATCAGTATTTTCCATCAGATTCCCCGTCACTCTTCGTTTTGGCCAACCTCAGGTAATAGTTTTCAAATAAATAATAGGGAAGAAAATCGCAGGTTCTTTCAGAGAAATGGAAGAAAATGCTCACTATATTACTCCTAGAAAATTACATTTTGTCTAAGAAAATTTTGAAAAATATCTTAGTTTTTGCTTTAGAATGTTTTCGAAAACATATTCGCGAAACATAAGCGAAAAAAGCATTCTAAACTTCTTTAGATTGAAGTTAATTTATTTTAAAATTTCGTACTTGAGTGTTAATATTCATAATTGTTTCTTCCTCAAAAGTGTTGCTTACAATGAGCGGTTAAACAAAGTTGTTTTTAGTAACAGTTAGGCCTGGTCCCATTTTCATGTTAAATTATTATCACATAAATTTCATTTAAAGAATTCATTTTAATCGATCTAGAATTAAAAAATTCCTACAAATCAATTCAAAGAGTAAAAACTTTCTCACCTGCTTGAATCCTTGATATATAAGTTTAAGTTCATTTTTTGTGAATTTTGTGATCTTACAAAGAGCTTCTATCCTCTGAGGTTTCGATCTTACAAAAGTCATCTCAATATCGTCACTGCAGTCATCTAAAGGAAAAGAAAAGTTAAGGATCAGGGATAAGCTATAAATTACAAAGATATACTAATACATCATAGGCATTATTAACTTCATACCAGAGAATAATCTAAAATAAATTTTATTGGTGTTCTAAGTTTTGATTCCTCCGAACACACCTTAAAACGTATACGAATTTCTTAAAATCAGTAAACTATTCTTTTCGGTAGAGTTTGTCTCAGAAAATAAAATTTAAGTCATGATTGAGAGTTTCAAAGACATCGCTTTCTTTTACGCAGTGCATGTCAAAAGACTGATACTTTTAAAATCAATGTGTAGAGTTATTAGGATTTTTGGAAGCCGTAGAGATGAAAAATTAGCAACCGCCTTCGCCGGGAATCGAACCACGGACCTCTGGAATACCGTCCCAGCGTGCTACCGTTACAACACGAAGGCACGCTAGGGAAGTGGGAGAAATACCTTATAAATGCTCTAAATTAACTCTTTCATCACTTAGACCTTCATTAGGATTGTGACACTTGTAATTTGTTTTCTTTATTTTATCGGAACATGAAAAACAAGTACTATGCATAATAAATACAACTAAAGAGGTCGGTTAATGATTCATTCATTTATCCTATTAAACATAATTATTAGGCTAATAATTTACAATTATTACGGATGAAATGAATTTTGAGAATTCATGCAAATGTTAAGGTTCGATGTATGCGTTTATATACATACAAATGAATACAATACTAAAATGTTAAGATGTATGCGCTTATGTGCAATATTTTAGCTAGTTAATTTATAAGGTATTTCTCGCGTCTTCCTAGCGTGCCTTCGTGGTGGTGCAGTGGTTCTGCACGCTAGGCCGGTATTCCAGAGGTCCGTGGTTCGATTCTCGGCGAAGGCGTTCTTTTCATCTCTCCGGCTTTTCCAATTAAACCTAATGTCTCTACAGTAGCGCCCGAACTAAAAGGGTGGTGGATGATGATTTCTCCCCACCCAGAAGGGCGACTGGGGTTTTTAGGGAACCCAATCGCCCTTTAAAAGGAGGAGTATATAAGGTTATTTCTCCTGCCTTCCTAGCGTGCCTTCGTGGTGTAGTGGGTTTTGTACGCTGGGCTAGTATTCCAGAGGTCCGTGGTTCGATTTACGGCAAAGGCGATTGTTCATTTTTCATCTCTCTGTCTTCTAAAAAAAAACCTAATTGTCTCTACAGTGGCGCCCGAACTAAAAGGGTGTTGGATGAAGATTCTCCACACCCAGGATTTGGCGATTGGGTCCCTTAAAAACCCCAGTTGCCCTTTAAAAAGGGAAATATATAAGGTATTTCTCCCGCCTTCCTAGCGTGCCTTCATGGTGTAGTGGTTCTGCACGCTGGGCGGGTATTCCAGAGGTCCGTGGTTCGATTCCCGGCGAAGGCATTGTTCATCTTACCTGCTTCCAAAAAATACCTAATGTTTCTACAACTTTTTTAAGTCAAATGATTTACTTAAAAATAATATATGCTTTTTTTAAACTATATGCTTTTATTGAATTATTTAATGAATAATATGCACAGATCTTTAATTTTTCCCTTTCTGGTGACACGTTCCTTAAATAATGGCAAGACCATTTTCTTTTCAATGAACAGCATGAATAGAGATAATTATTGTTTTCAGATTGTTAAAATATACAAATTTTAAAATTGATGAAAATTAAAAGTTTGGAAAGCTTTGCTCATATCTCTGAATGCAAAAATAACTAATTTTTTAAACCATTCGCAATAATTGACTTAATTGAAGGTATATCAACAACAGAGTTAAAAGTTGACTAACAGAAGAAATAAACATTAATGAAATTTCACTGTTCCCTATTGCGTGCTGATATTAACTAAATGCTTTCGTTGTACTTTACGTCGAATCGTCTTATTTGCAATATACATTCCTCGGTTACTATCTATAGAAGCACGCTGCAGTAAATGTCATTTCTCTTCCTGCTACAAATATGAAATGTGGTTTTCAGAGATTTATGGCACTAAACTATCTTGGAAGATTTGTTCTGAGTAATAACACTAAGTCCAAAAACGAACATATATTACAGGATAAATAAATCATACACCTCAAAGATATAATGTTGTTCTACATGCATGACATAGGAATAAACCAATACCTGCATTACATAAATATGTCTATTACTGATTGAATGTATTAAAATTCTTTAGATTCTAATTCTTTAGATTTCTGAAACATTCATTATGTAGAGTTGTGTTCTGACATTTGCTGCTGCAACAGATATGGTTTCTGTTATCCTACTTTTACAGATTCTGTTATCCTAGTCCGCCATTTTTTAACTAAGGAAACAAGCGGTTTAAAAGTTAAAAAATGTGTTCCAGGTGAGAATCAGGTAATATGGTTGAAAGCGAGCAACTTTGAAAAGTCTTCTACTATTTTCCCATAATTACCTCGACCATGATACATAGTTCAATTTCCATTATTCATACAATAATTATTGGAAAGAAAAATTCTAATCTTCCTTCACCGTTTGAAATTACGTATGATACTATAAAGTACCAAACACAACAAATTTTCATTCCTCTGTTAACAGGGGAAAAAGTAGGCTATAAATGTAAAATGAAGCTCTTAATCATTGTATTTGTATTTTATTTATGTTGAAGATGCATCACTACGCGTAGTTTAGGAAATAAACTTTACTGTACTTACATATCTTACATGAGTATAATGTTATACGAAGTCTAAAAGAAATTCTTAAGGAAACATTTCATTTCTGCATATATGCTCACATTAGGACTATCTCTAGAGATCTAGATATATTCGATCTAATTAAGGAAGTATACCTAAGTATACCTAGGAAGAAAAGGAAGTCACCAAATTTAACTTTATAATAAAACCAGACTTGACAAAAAAGAAGTCACCAAATTTAACTCTATAATAAAACCAGGTTTGACAACTATAAAGTTATAAAGTTATCTGATTTCTTTGAATCGGTATAAAAAATTCAGTAAAACACAATAATTACCCTTTACGTATCCTTTAAGTACAAATCAATTATACACTCATATCCAAATTTACCTTTCTGCACACAAAAATACCGTTACTCCATAAATCACCAAATTGATATAATACATTTTTGCAGTGAATGAGTGAAAAACAAGCCTAATTAGCATTATTTAATCAAAAGTGATCAAATAGAATAATAATTTATTAATTATTATTATTATTATTATTATTATTTTATTTATTAATTTTTTAATTTTTTAATTTATTAATTTATTTATTAATTTTTAATTTATTTATTAATTTTTAATAATAATGAATTTTAGGTGCAATTTTGGCCGTTTAAGGGGGAAAACAGGTGACAGGTTGTATGTTTAAGAGCAATTTATTAGTAATGTATTGTTTTAAATAACGGTGAGATAAATTCTTAGTTTACTCAGATCTGAGTCCGAATTTTGAAAGGTTTTTCGAATTTTCCGAATTTCGAAACTCACGTAAGAATAATAATGGGAAGGAAAAAAGAGAGCCAAGAAAATGATACTAAAAGTTTCCAATTGGAAAAAAAAAATTGAAATTTGCATTTGATGAAAAATATATTTAAGTATACAGCTTTTGGCTAACTTTACTGAGAACATGAAAATTAAATTAAATAAATTCAGCATGCAATAAAATCCCTTAAGACTCATTTTCTCGGCATAATTTAACAAAAAATATTTGAATAACAGCTCAAATATATTTTTAGAGTCTTTTTAAATCAAAGTAAGTGTAGAGAAGAGCGGCCTATTTTAAGAATAAGGATAGATTGTAGAGACATTAGGTAGTTTTGAAGGAGGCGAGATATGGTCACTTTACTTAACCTGTTCCGCCAAACTGAGTTAATGGCACTACAGGGTTAGGAAGTCATCCTAGCATTGCTAGCAATCTGACGGTTAGGCCGCCTTTCTACATTTTACTTTAATCTGTAGTTTCTTGGATATAATTATTTTCATTCACTTCCTTCATTATCTTTAAGATGCCCTTGTTGCAGTAATAGTCCGTGAACAGTCTATTCACAGGATATGTGATGTAGTCGGAAGGAAAGAATTGCTGTCGAAGGTGCTCTGTCAGAGGGCAGGAGAGCAGGTAATGAAGTGCGTCCGCGTCTTCCCCGCGAAAACCGCAAGAACAGTTGACGTCCCGTCTGAGGAAACGTCTGTAATACGCTGGGAATTTCCCGTGGTTGGTACAGGCTTGGAGGAAGAGTCGGTTGCATTTCAGCCTCTTGAGAGAAGATATTGGGAAGATGTTGTAAGTAAATCTTCCTGTCTCTTCTTCCTGCCATCGTGATGACCATGTCTCTTGAAATGCTGTCTTGAGGAGCCTTTTTGCAACTTCTGCGGAAAGCGGAACTTCCTTGTCAATTTCTGGTTTGAGAGCTGCAGTCTTAGCTAGTTCATCCGCTCGTTCGTTGCCTTTCTGCCCGGTATGTCCTTTTATCCAGTTGATCTTTAAAGGTATGGAAGAGCCTAACGTCAAGAAGATCTCTCTAAGTGCTGCCGTGTGCGGATGTTTTGGAGGAAAGGAATTCAGCGCATTCAAAATGCTCATGCTATCTGTGAAGAATGAAGTGTGAACTGCTGGTTGCGTACCTAACCATAGTGCTGCTTCTTTGAGTGCTAGGGACTCGGCTTGGAAGACTGAAGCATGATCGCTTAGACGGAATTGTGCTTGATAAATTTCTTCATTGTTCGAAAAGACCGTGAACGCTGCCCCTACTCGTCCTGAAATTTTTGAACCGTCAGAAAAAAAAAAAAATATCTCTTTGTTGTCCTGAGGGTGGCGATTTGCACCAGGAAAGGATGGGTAGATCTCCTGGGTGTAAGTCAGGGGGATCTTGGAAGCTTTCTATGCTGGCATAGGATAGATGTAAATCTTTTTTAGTGTGAAGGTCCTCTTTGTAATGTAGAAGTCGATAGATTGATCTTTCTAAATCTGCTTGAGCAACGCCTTTGCCGGAACTCGAACCACGAGCCTCTCGAATACGCGTCGAG